GAAGACAAACACTGTAATAATGAGGTATTAATGCCTCCTCTGCCTTTCTCCTAGCTTTTACTGCTGAGCAGACGTCATGTGGTATGGAATATCCCTTCGGTCAGTTTGGATCCATTGGCTGTGTCACCTCCCAAGATCTTGCCCACCTCCCAGCCTACTGCTGGTGAAGGGGCAATGTTGGAAAGACAGCTCAGCAGTAACCAGAACACTGGTATGTTATCAACACCTTTCTAGCTACCAATACAAAGAACAGCACTTCTGCTATGAGGAAAATTAACTCCATCTCAGCCAGGCCCAATACAAGTGAAAACCTTAAAGTACTTGGAATGTTAGAGAATCTTAAGCCCAGCAATATGCCTAGATTAACTGGCTGAGTGCAAGTATCAAAACAAAATCCTCTTCCTTTGGGGAAGCATCACCACAGAACCACTTGCTTATACAACAGTGATTAAAAAAGAAAAAAAGAGGCAGGTTACCTTATGTTTTCCACCAGTAACTACAATCTAACTTTGCACAAAAAGTAAATTCCACTGCCGCGTGGGCCTTTTTCATGATAGTCATTGTGATCCTACCAGCTCCAGCCTGAAAGATTCAGTTCCTTCTGGCTTTGTGTCTCAGACTTTTAAAAATCAAATCTTTTTTTTACCCATAGGTAGCTTTTGGGGTGTCCCACCCCTCAAATAAACCAGTATAAAACACTGGAAGACAAATACTAATTTCAGCTCTAACAGAAACACTTCTGTGATGTAGTCCCCAATTTTTATACCCTATTGCAGACTCAGTATGATAAAACCCAAGTGTGTAAGGTCCCTGTATGCCAGGCCCATCAGTTTTTTTCTGTCTGAAGTCTCAATGAAGGAGTTGGGGTACAGGCTAAGCAACTTGTCAAATCATGGCAGTTATTTCTCTCGAAAAGATAGCTGGAAAATAAGAGGTAATTTAGAGCCTTGGTCTTTGGTGTTGGATGTACCATGTTTATAATTGTGTTCCACCTCTCCACAACCCCCATTAAAATTAACATTCTTAAAATGATCAAGAATTAACAACTCAATTAATGGTCATTAAAACTCTTCTGAGTGCTAATAAAGGAAAGACAGTGAAAAAGAAAAAGTTCCATGGTTCACGTTACAAAAAAACTATGATTATCCTACTTAAATTAAATGGGATGAAACAGACGTAGGCAATTTATTAACCAGACTCAAGGAAAGATTATACTCAAACCTCAAATTTAACATTAACTATTCTGGCACAACAAGTGGGAACATACTGATTAAAGTGATACAAAGCTGGCAGAGATCATGAGAGGTCTAAAATTAAATAGTGCCACATTAAAACGACATAGTAAGGCCACGTAGTTCAAGATTAATATCAAAAATTTCGAATATGAGTTCATCAATTAGAAATGACTGGAGAGAAGAACCTGAATGGTTTGCTTAACCACAAGAAAACAATGTGAGGCAGCCAAAGAAGGTATCAGGAGAAGCATCAAGCAAAAACAAGGAAGTATTATGTCATTTTCAAGACACTCTGAGATCTCATGGGGCTATTTATGTTAATAGATACCTGCACCATTTCAGCCTGAATGTAACAGCTACTAGAATGCTCTGGGGCAAAAAGCACGTTGGGAGTAGGAAACAAAACCAGCTTTTCTTAGCCTAGCAGATCAAAAGGTGAGAGATATGAATGCCACCTATAAATACAGCACAGTGAATAAAAACTACAGAAGAAAAAAAGCTATTAAGATGAAGCACAGTGCCAGCACAGCAACAAAGGTGCACAGAAATGCCAAAGGTTCAGAAATTTTGCCACAAATTTAGATGTTACTACATAGCTCCAAAACACTGAACAATGACCTTCTACCCTTAGTCCACTGAATAGGGCAGCAGGCACAAAAAGCTCCTACTTTTAAAATAAAGATAAAAAGCTTGATGAGGGGATTAAATGAAATTAGACTTTTAACTACAAGGGGTGAGAAAAGATAACCCAGGAAGTTCCTCTGCTAGTGCTTTAAAAGCAAATATGCACACTCATCTCTCAGAGGAGCAATCAAAACAGCACCCATATGTTCTGCGCTGAGGCCTGTCTTTTCCAGGGAGAAAGGCCGTTTCTCCGCCGCCGGTTTTGGCCAGCTCGGTGCCCCAGGAGCACGCCGCTCCACATTGCACACATCAGCACGGCCCACGTACCGCGCATACCACACAACCCGTGCTTTGGGTGGCACGGCTTTTCGGCTTTTTTTTTTTTTCCTCCAGACAGCCCCTGGACAAAACAAGCCCCAGTGGGAAAAGTGCTGTTTGAGGCTTGGACTGCACCCAGGCTGTGAGCCGGGGGTGGGGGGGAGGCAGAAGCGGCTGTCCTGTCGCTGCCCTTCACGCCGGCCGCTGAGGAGCGTTACCCGCCGGGCTGCCCCCCGCTCCTCTGCAGCAGAAAGATGGTCCTCGGCCCCATAAACTACAGCGAGAGGAGCCGGTCAGCGACAAGGGAGTGGGGGCCGGCCATCACCCTCACGGCGCTGTGGAGACGCCGGGGCGCACCGGGCAGGGCTGTCGCTGTCCTCTCCC